GTGTAGCAAATTAACATTGATTTTCTTTTTCATCTAGGACCATTGTCACTGAGAACCTTTCTGTGTGAATTCCTGCCATAGTAGTTATTGGGTTCAGGTCTAAGAGAGCAGAAGGAACATAAATTCCCATCGACCCTGCTAAAATGTGCTTTCCTAATCCCCAGGTGGCTCTGCACAGGTCGTGAAAACCTAGCTCATTCCCTTAATTGAGAACATTGCTTTTCTCTGCTCTACCCAAAGAGGAAAGTACTAGCATGCACAGGCTCCCAAAGCCAGTTGGGTAAGGATTTAATTTAAGTGAAGTCTGTGACTTATTGTCACATGATAATTATATGCTGTCAAAGGCATGGATCCTAAGTGTACGTTAGATCAGCTCTGACAAGAGTAGAGCCAACACTCCCATCACCCTAGAAGTTCCATCAACCTAGAAAGTCCCATGATATTGTATTTTATTTGTTTTTATTTTTTACATACTTGGGGTTTGAACCCAGGGCATTCATGCTGAGCTACATCTCCAGCCTCTTTTTATTTTTTTACTTTGAGACAGAGTCTTGCTAAGTTGCCCAGGTTGGCTTCAAACTCCTGATCCTCTTGTCTCAACCTCTCAGAGTGCTGGGATACAGGTGTGCGACACCATGCCCAGCTTCACGTGTCATTTTATAGTGGTGCTTTGGGGTGAGGTCTCTCTTTAGCCACAACTAAATAGCCCACATTGTCTGGGATGTGTGGCTCCTATGCATTAGTTATTTAAAAACCCTGAGCCTTGGTTTTCTTATCTGAAAGATGACGATGCTGAAACCCACTTCATGTTACAAAGATTAACTAAGGTGCTTTTAGGCACCTGCCATTCAGAGAATACTCAGGTCAAGTGATTCTCCACTGGGTCTTTCTACTTACAATCTTGGGTGCTGGGTCTTTTCTCTCTTTCTTGCCCATTTCAAGCAAATGGTCCAAAGAGTGTGTTTAAAGGCTGTAGTTCGGTGAAGGGGAGGCATGCATGCAGCCCTTCCTTCCATCCTCAACACTGTACAAAGAAGAAGGAGTGGAGCATATTCCAATATTAGAGGATGCTGCCTTTGGAAAAAAAAAGAGATACTTTTTCTAATCAAAAAACTTAATCCTTCCTAGTGCATTAGTAAACTTGAGGTACTTAGGGAAGTAACATCTTTGCATTTCATTAAGCCTTTATGAGATGCTGGAAGTTGGGGAATGGTATACTATTTGGGACCAGGCAGCTCTAGTTTTCTCTAAATGTCAGGCAGCCCCCCATCTGCCTGTGTGCATGGCTGCCTATGTCACAGGGAGTTGGCTTTGCTGAGGAAAAGATTTTGTGTACAGGTCGCAGGCAAATCTTGGACACATTGCCTTAAACAGACTCACACAGGCATTAGCATCAGAGCCTGGAATCTAGGTGCTGTCACAAGGAAGCCTTCCCATGGCGAATGACACTGGACCTTTGCTGCTTAGCCGATGTGAAGCAGAGACCTGAAGATCGACATGAGGAAGCTGGGGACGGAGAGTGGGACGGCCTGGTTTTGCTCTGTGCTCTGTGCGCCTCTCAGTGGAAACCTCGCCATCCATGGTTTAGACTGGAAACCCAACGCGAGGATCAGAAAAGGCAGCTGATGAGCTTCTCATTGACAGCATTTAAATCCAGAGTCCCCAGTGGGCGTCATCAAAACACCCCGACGAGCATTTTGGGGAACCACTTGCTCTCCCTCTTCCTGTCTTGCAGACAGTGGCTGTGAGCCCCAGGACCCGCCCCAAGCATGGCTTACTGTGTGTGAGGCTCCGCTCTCCTGTTTGGGTTCGAAAGCTTTCTGTGCTATTGGCCAGCCCTGATTTGGTACCACGCGTTTCTCCCAAGTAAACTGATGCCCATTCACCCGAGCTTTCCTCCTCACCGCCTGGAAAGCAATAAAATCCATGTGACCACATATGATAGCCTATGATGGAGCAAGGTAGATCTGGCTTTCTTTCCTGTTCCAGTGTGGCTTGGTAGATTGTGAATACAATTGAAGAATTCAGACATTCGGGTCCAACAGGATCCAAACTGCAGCAGGCACTGAGTTCTACGAGAACCACACAGTGTGCTCCTTTCTTGTGTCAAGACCGATGATGATATGCAAAAGGAGGATGGGAACTTCTCCTCAAATATGTTTTTTCAATCCCCTCAGGCACAGTTGTTTGCTCACCCTCTTTATGGCTTGGTGCCAGGGCTCACCCTTCACAGGATCTGGATCAGGAAGCTGTGTGTTGGGCTTGTAAACAAGTGAAGAATGGCATAAAAAGCAAGAAAAATTAGATACTTAATATTATGAAATCTCCAGGTCTCAGTTACTTTCTTGACACTTATCTAGATGGCAGTAAATTGTCAACAGAATATATGGAGGGAAACTTCGGTGAACAGAAAATAATTTCATAGACCAGTGAATTAGGGACTGAGGGGATGGTACTCGCAAAGCACTCCTTCCTTGGGCATCAATCTGCTTCATAAAGAGCTGCTCCAGGGAGGATTTCTTTCCATCTTTGTTACTCCACCTGTCACGCAGTGTCAATTGTCAATGTCAGTTGGGATTAACCAATTAAGTAGCAAGATTAGGAAGGCCCAGCAACAGTAAAGGGAAATGTGTCAGAACAGATTTTTTTCCTTCCTGTGACTAAAGCCTTCATTCTGCTGGTCTAGAGGAGAGGATAGTGATCAGTGAGTCTCATGACGATGCAAGAAATTTTATTGATCAATGGGTGATCAATTTTGCAGTTATTCTTCAATCATTTTGGAGCAATTAAGTGAATGCAATCATTGGTGAGTGTTCATAAAATAGGAGCATAGGGATTTAGCAATATTCATACCCCTCCTTTTAAGACAAAATGTTAAGAAAAACAGTGACCATGAAATTCTTGAAACTTCTATTTGAAATAAGCCATGCAATGTGTCAGTGATAGCGAGTTCTGCAGAACTATTTCATTTTCAACTTCAGTGCTCTTGGCTAATTTTTAAAGTCACTCTTGGGTCCTTGGAGTTTCCGAATGGGCTGTGGAATAATTCTGATTGCTCAAATAGTTAAACTACTCAGCATAGGCAAGTAAGACATCTTCTGTTGACTCAGTGAGTGCCCCTACCCCAGGCCTCTGCAGGCCCTATTATGAAAGATAAATGAGAAATGTTTTCCAGTCTGTCCTTGCTTTCCACAGAGTGAACGTCAAATCAAATTTTTAGCTTTATGTCACTTGAGAGAACAGTGAGAAAGGCCTTCATGCAGAAGGAGAGCTATGATTAAAGCTTGGGAAGAGCTGAGGACAGATATGTAGCAAATGTGTCGTTTTAAAAATGGGGTTGGGATTGAGAATAGACAGATTGGCTAGGACCAAGAGACAAAAGGCAGCGTGTTCAATATACTAAGGGGAGTGAAGGGTATGTTGATAAAGAACACCTTTCTCCCTTCATAAATTTGGTGGCTAGCTCTTTGCAACTATGAGCTATCAGGAAGAGGACAGAAGCGGAAGGCAACACATTTAAACAAGAATGGATCAAATACATTACTATGTGCCAAAGAATCTATTGGAATGAGAAATTAAAAGCACCAGGAAAAGTAAGGTATGTTGTTTTTGCTGAAATGAGAGGCCAGAGTTCCTCTCTGGGAGCTCAGCGGCTCCCTGTAGATGCTGCAGGTCAGGGTCGTCGTGGTTTTGACATGATCTAGATGCAGGGAGCTTCTGAGACTACTCGAGTGGGCCTAGGGTCAGAGTGGCCTGGAGAGGTGAGCCTGAGAACCAAGCCTTTGCGCATTGACAGGATCCAGACAGGACGCTTCTGGGCTCTGTTCTCCACTTTGCTAGAAGTGAAGTGGGGGAAGAATGATGCCTCTCATCAGACTCCCCATGTTTAGGCAGAAGAGTGATTTTTGCTAGGTCTTAGTACGCTCATTGAAGTGCTTTCATGGAAACTAGCACAAATTAGCTTTGGTGATCATCTGCAGTCATAGTGGAGCCCAGTGCCGGTGGGGATGCGAGGGCAGGGTGCGTTCTGTCAGAGGAAAGGGCTGCAGAGCTCTTTTACACTGACACATTTCTCCCCATAAGTTCACACGCAGAGAACACCAGGCTCTCCCTATCCTAGGCTTCACGCTCACAGACTGAACTAGATAAAAAGTTGTGGGAAAATTGTGTGTAGTCAACACGTCCACACTTGTTTCTTGTTATTATTCCCTGAGTATAACAAATTATTCACAGAGCATTTATTTTATATTCAGTATCATAAGCAATCTAGAAATGATTTAAAATATAAAAGTTATGCACGGGTTATGTGCAAATACAACATGACTTCATATAAAGGGCTTGAGGGTCTGTGGATTTTAGTATCCATGGACACCTCAGAACTAGCCCCCTGTGAATACCAGGAGATGGCCCTATCTTATCTCAGAGTCTTTATTATATATATTTTAAAACATATGAGTAAAACTCTTCAGAAGTCCATGTTAAATTGAACGCGGTCAGATACATGGTCAGCAGCTCCATGAATCAGACAGCAGTTGAGCTGATTCAGGCCAGATACACCATGCACCAGGGAAGCACATGGGCTAAGTCCACCCAGTGCTGAACTAGACATGCACATGCTGGACTTGGAAGCTCTGCATCTTTGCAGAGCCATCTTCTTGCTTTTTGTCCACTCCAGAAGTATAATTCAATACATGCATGCATGCATGACATGAAGCGGAAGGCTGGCTGAGAAACCCTCACTGGCAGAGAGAAGAAGGCATTCATTCCTTTCAAGACAACATGGAAAGAAGACCAAAGTGGCCTAGATATGGTGTAGGCACACATTCATTGATAAAGCCTTTGAATGCATCATTTCAGCCACACATTGGACCAGGTTCCTGGCAGAGCACTTGTCCATACTGGCTCAGGCAGCAAAAGATAGGCAGTCAATGACAAGGACAAAAGAAAGTGATGTCACAGAGCTAGAGTCACACAAAGTTTACGTGAAGTACAAAGGAAGCTCAGGGTGTTAGAGATCATCACCCAGTCAGGGGTCAGGAAAGGATGAAGCAGAGGTAGGTCTCCTCCCCAGCCTCATTTCTCCTGGAGTAGCCAAATCGAGGCCTGTGAATGTGTACTCAGGGTGTTGGCCAGCTTTGCATCTCTGTGGCCAAATACCCAACACGCATAACTGAAAGGAAGACATGTTTGTTTGGGCTCATGGTTTCAGAGGTTTCAGTTCATAGTTGGCTGAGTTTAAGACAGAATCCTCATGGCAGAAACGCATGGTGGAGGAAAGCTGCTCCTTTGGAGGCAGCTAGGAATTGACAGCAGGGGAAGGCCCTAGATGTAGGGACCAGGAACCAGATATGGTCCCCAGGACCCAGCACCTAGGACCACTCAGATACACCTAAAAGTGTGCTTTGTGCGTCTCCTAGAATCTCGAAAGCCAGCTGACAAGATTTACCATCACAATCGGGATCCACTTGCTTCCAATGATCCAGTGCACTTCTCAGTCCTTCATTTCTTTCCCTTTGGATGTTTTCTCCTTACCCTGAGGAGCAAAAGGCCCCTGTAATGAACCTCTGCAGCCTAATTAAGCCCCATCAAAGTATCTATTGTGGGTCCCAACCCTTCAGTTGCGCTGAAGAGATAGACACGCTAATTGGACAAATGAGCTCTTCTGATGTAATAATGGCTGATTGTGTGCTTTATCCTTTATCTCTCTGGCAACATGCATCTTAATGGAGCTCTCAAGTCCTTGGCCTGAGAGATCTGTTACAGTGGGGTTGCAAGTCAGTCAGGAAGGTATTTTGGAGCAACTGATCCTCTTGGATCCTCCTAAATCTTAGCACATCTGCATATACTGCATCAATCAAATGAAGTTATAAAAAGTTTATCACAAGCCAGAAAAAAAAAGGTTCCGATGTAAAACCACAGAGCTCATGCATTCATTAGCATGGTTTTTTGATTTCTCAAAAGAATCACTGAGAAGGCTTTTGATGTATCAAATATTAGGCCTTTGATGTATCAAATGTTGTATGCCTGCAGGGATTAGTTCTGATTAGAAAATTCGAGTCTATGCTCCGTCTCCCAGCCCCTAGAGACATGCACATTGTTGCATTAACAGGTGCAGGGGCCTGTGCTTTTGGTGCCATGCTGTGTGCCTCTTTAGGAAGGCACTCAAGTCCCCTCCTGACGAGGGACCTCGGCGGGGATGAGCAGAGGTCTCACCCATCCAGAGGTCGTTCCCAACATCGTCACCCGATCTTTGCCACAGTCCTTAGGAGCAGCAGTCCCTCTGAGTTCTGATGCCTCAAAGACCCACAGCTATTGTCCCCAGGAAGGAAGGACAATCTGTGAGCCTTGGGGCATCTGATGGTGCTCCTTTTGTGTATGTCTTTCGCCAGGGCTGTCTGACCTTGAAATGGGGAGAAACTGAGGTCGAAAGCCTTTTTCAAGGTCACTGTTACTAGGGGCTTTCATGGGATGGGCCACTCTTGCAGCTGCGTAGCATTTGGGACAGTGCCCAGCTGGACAGGGCTGAGGGACAGTCCCCAGTGGAGAGCTGACCTTTGTATAAAGTCAGTCTCGGTTCATCTGTCATCTTCAACAACTGTTTAAATATTTTCTTGGCGAGAATACTCACATAATATTCACTCTGGAGAGAAAATCTCAAGAAGAGGCGTCTTTCTAGGGATGAGAAGGCATCCATGAATGTCCAGTGCTCTGCCATCTTGGGCTCCTTGGAAAGCATTCTGCTGGGCCTGGAGCCTCCCACAGTGTAGCAAGAGCTTGGCTTCTTCCCATGCAGCTCCTGGCCGGGACCTCGGAGTGGAAATAGACACCTTCAAGAGTAGTTGGGGTGAACCCAGAATGACTCAGGCGTTCTCTCCTACTGGCCTACCCCGCACACAGCACTGTTCTGCAGGACATCTCCAGGGTGGATGTCAGCCACCTGTGGCCCTGGAAGCAGCTGCTTGGGGTGGGGTTGAAAGACTCTCCACAAGTCAGCGTGAGCTCTGCCGGGGGATTCAGGGTCCTGCTTTGCATAGTGCACAACACCACCTACCCTACACTGCCACAGAGGCTCCAGGAAGGAGCAGCAGGTTCTCTTGTGCTTTAGGCTGTCCCTCCACTGCTGGAGCTCCCAGAAGGCTGCTCTTCCAGGGGATGGTGTGGCACTCCTGTTTGCGTTCATGAGTCTTCTGTTGTTTTTGCAATCCACATTCAGAGCTGTGGAGAGCGGAGGTGACCCGGGCCACACAGGGTTCTCAAGTTGAGCCTTCTTGCCTCTAAAGCATCCACATCAAGGGCCCCAGGGTAGCAGCAGGACTAAGCCAAGACGCCTGCCCTAGAGAAGCGGAGAAGATGGACTAGGGAGGTTGGATGCTATTGATTGGGTTTCTAACCAAAGATTGCTCCTCTCAGCCCTGTTCAGCCTCTTCCCTGTAAGGCAAACCCTGAATTTCCGCTTGCGCAAAGTGTGTATAAGGTTTCTCCCGAGACAAAATCATGTTTTCCTTCTAATGTGAGGCTTCTCACCTCACCAGCTTCAGTTGCAGAGAACTGGCTTAAAGGAAGTTAGACCACCTCGCTCTCCACAGGGCAACTGCAGCAGCCCCATGAAGCCATGAAGTGCAGGACCCACTTCTCAAGGAGGACCAGCCCTCCCCTCCCCAGTGTAGCCACCAGCTGGGGACCCGATCCCAAAGCTGCAGGGTGTCAGTGGAATCAGGCTCCTTCCATCCTCACCTTAATGGTCAGGAGGGTCAAAGCCTTGCACTGAGCTGCTTTTGAGTTTGATTTCCCTTTGTGAAGTTCCAAGCGCCTCTCTCCAAAGGGTTCTACTTTACAAGAAATATCACGATGCAGTTCTCACCTTTCCTCCTCTTCCCACCTCTCTGGGGAATCCGCAGTCTGCAGGGGAAACGAGTCATCTTCCATCCTGTGACTGCCCTCAGGTCAGAGGCAGCTGGGAGGAGCCACCCATGCCTCCTTTTGGTCTCCAAGGCTGAGTCCTGCTCTTTTCATCCCCAAGGGGAATGCACAGCTGCAGTACTGCTTGTCATACTGTTCCATGCCAAGCACCTCACTGTGGCTGTGAAGGGCATCAACAGACCTGGCCAGTGGGCACCAGCAGGACTCACCTGGTGAGTCCCTCAGGCTCCTCCTAACATCCCTGTATAAATTGCTAAAACTTTTTGAGCCTCATCTTCCTTTTCTGCCATAAAATGTCCCATGAAGGGTCTTGTGGAGTCTGACTCTGAGTATCTGTAAGGAGCCCAACAGGCCTCTCAGCAGAGGAGAATGGTCAGTATGCATGCTTGGTGATATAACCCGAGGAGTCTCTACATTATTCAGTTATTCCAAGACAGGTATAGTCAGCCTCCTGGGCAAAGCACCAAGCCATATCTGTGTGCCCAGAATGCAGGAGGGGGGACTAAGATTTGGGGGCTGGTCTCAGATCTTGGGTAGTGTTAGGGATTGTGGTGTATCCTAAACCTGTATGTTGAAACTGGAGCCCCCAGTGAGATGGTATTAGGAGGTGATGGACCAGGAGGTGGAGCTCTTGTGCTGGGATTAGCGCCCTTACAGGAGGTGACACTAAGAGCTTGCTTCCTGTCTTTCTGCTCTTGACCATGCATCTTGGTCCATTTTCTGTTTCCATAATGAAATACCCAAAGCTTTACCCAGGTGGCTTATTTGGCCTCCAGTCATGGAGGTCCTAGAGTGTGATACTAGCATCTTATTGGCTCTAGTGAGGGCTTTGTGGCTACATCACAACATGACGGATGGTAGGGGCAAAAATGAGAGGGAAAGACCACATAGTGAGACAGGAAGCAAAAGACCAGGAGGGTCCAGGCTCACTCTACCTAGGACAACCCGTTCCCAGGGGAATAACTCAGTTCTGCCAGACCCAACACACTGGGAAACCAGCATTGCCCTGCTCATGATAGGCACCTCCCAGGGACCTCATCACCTTCCACTGAGGCCATCTTATGAAGGTTCCATGACATCAACATCAACACCCTTGGGACCACCCCAGTCCCATCCCAACCCCCACCAAGTGTGGGCACAGTGAGAAGGCCACCATCTGCAAAGCAGGAAGGAGCCCTCAGAGTCATGGAGCCCCTTGGCATTTTGATCTTGGACTTCCCAGTCTCCAGAGGTATGAAAAATAAACATCACTGTTTAAGCTGCCCAGCCTGAGGTATCAGCCCGATCTGACTAACACAAGCAGGGAGCTCTATTCTTTCTTCCAGGCTCCAGGGTGTATCTGTAATTAAGAGACTGAGGTATAAACCCCATTATCAAAGGATTTTCCTCACTGCAATAGAAAAATGTAGAAAGAAGCTTTTTTTTAAATTACAAGGGAGCAAAATAAAGGCTCCTTTAAAAAAACTATATGCAACCAAATGATGAACCCTGTGTCCTGCACACTCCCTGGGACCTTCCTGCCGGCAGTGGGATGACAGCCGTGGGAACTGGGCTCAGCCAGGGATCCCAAGCTGCAGTCCCAGGTCTCTCAGGAGCCTCGAGGCCCCTGAGCTCACGGGCCACTGCCTGAGCCTTGCACAAGAAGGCACTGCCTGTTCTGGGCTCCCAGAGAGAAAACTGGCCCTGGCTCCCATTCCCAGCAGAAAGGAAACCCATATACAGCCTCCCCTGATGGCGACGCAGAGCAGAGAAATGGGAGAGGCATTGTTCTAGCTCACTTCAGAGCACATCATCTGTGCACAGTCCTGGCTGAATCCTGGTGCCATGAGAAATGCAGAGGCCAGGCCCCACCCAGGCCTCCTCAGTCCATCTGGGGTTAGTCTTTAGGTGACTCAAGTGAGAAGCTGGCATCCGATCTAGGATCCTAGGATCTGTAGTAATACATCCTGGATTCAGCGTGACAGCACAAGTAGGTAGAGGACAGTTCAGCTGCTCTCGCCAGCAGCTTTCTCCTAAGGAGTAAGTCGAGGAGCAGCTTGAGAGCTCAGAATCCGAGCATCACTTCCGGTAAGATCACTTCTGGGGATGCCACTTCTGGCGAGATGTGCATTTCACTCATGGAGGAGAGTCAGCAGAGAGCAAGTCCCTGGATCTTTTTCTTAGGGAAATCTTCCATACGCGCATTGTTAGAGGAGGAGTCGTCCTGACCTTGGCTCCAAAGCTGCCAATGTCTGGTGAAATTCCTTGGACTACCCAGAGAACTATGTGGCAGAGACCTAGTGTATTTCATGGACCTTCCTATCAGCCATGAATTTACAGATTTGCCTGCCCCCAGATTAGACCTGTCCGTTTAGCTGACACCACAGTCTCATTCTTCTCAGTAGCTGTTGTGTCTCTAGTGATGCTTTATATGATGCAGGCTCAACTGAAGAGCTCCTGTCTCTACCCTACGAATTTTCCTCGGTGGTTGGGTATGGCAGAGAAAGTCTTTAATTACTAGATAATTCAGAAGAGCAAAATACTTGGGTAGAACTCATTGTATTCTGAAGTGGATCACAGAGGAAAGAGTCCCGGGAAAGGAACTATAAAATGTGGCCGTGAAGTATAAATGAGATTCCTCCCTGGATTTGTAGTGACTATGACCTTTTCTGACTTATAGCTCAGGCTCTACAGTCTCTTAAATGTGGTCGTTGACCTGTAAGGTGATTATCATTCATTCACTGCAGAGAAACAGAACATAGGGGGTTAGCATCACTCTGGGGCAGCCCACAAACTTTAACCATGAGGAAGTCAAACCTACAAGAGTTTGTCGGTGATTAAAACACAAGTGTATATGCATGGATGCACACAGCTTCCTGCCTGACTTCTAATAGGACATTTTGCCAGTGGCACTCAGACCCTTCCAAATCTGATGTCTGAGTCTAATGAAGGGAAGATACAGCATCCAGTGTGTATCAGTCTGGATGGAAGAGATACGCTGTGATCCTCACATCTCAGTGGCTTCAGCCATACAGTTCAGTTTCCAATCCCCTCCCAAGTGAGCAGTAAAAGGCTCTGCTCCTGTCTGCTAGTGAGCTCCCCACAAGGTCAGCGCAAAGAGAGAAAGGGTTCGACTCACAGGTAGACCGTTACAATACGACAAAGAGCAGAGTTAGATCATTGCCACAGCCTCAGATATGGGAACAGGCATGACTGGGAGAATGGAGCAAAGTGAAGAAAGTAGGCAGTGTCTGAACTTGGCCTCGAGTAATGCATATTATATCTCTCTGTGAACATTTCACAGTCTCCCTTGAAATCTTTTCTTTGTGAATATTCTGTTGGGACTTGCTTTATTTCTACCAGCTTCTGGACAAAGGTCCAATATTGTCTGCTTTTTCAGTGCACTAAATTGGCTTGAACTTTTGAAGAATCAAAGAATGGTAAGAGCTGGAATTGTGACCCAGAAGGAGACTGGCCAGGAACCAGGAGGTGCAAATGGAAAGTGTGCCAAGGTGGCTGTATTATACTTTCAACATCAAAGCAGAACATAGAAACTTACAGGAATTTGCAGTTGCCTTTGCAGGAAAAGACTATCATGGAAATATTTAGATGCTGTAATTTTGGAATGACTGAGTGATTCCAGAAGTTTATAGAGATATAGAAACAGAATGCATTAAATAAAATGATTCCATAACGTATGAGACTTCTTGTTGCTGACACAAAAATACAACTAATGACTTATACAACATCCATTTACTGAAAACTCCCACCCCAGCCCACAAAGGGCCCTGATTTCAATGATGATGATGATGATGATGATGATGATGATATAACAAGAATTTGGTGTGTGTAAGTTGTAATGCTAGACAAATACTGGCTCATCCTCAAACCACCCAATGTTGTAGGAACTACAGATACTTTTCACTTACAACTAAATTACAAATACTTGTGGATCACCCTTTCTACCAAGTGAAGGAACTGGGATTTGAACCCAGATAATCAACTTCAGAGCCTAAATTCTTCACTGTCTCACTCACCTCTTTCACAAAATTATTCATCCTTTTTAAAAAGGTGAATAACAACATATCTTTGTTAATTTAAAAAGAAATGAAAAGCTGGAAAATTGGTTTTTAAATTACTCATGTAAAATAGAATTTCTAGAAGTCATTGGATTGGACTGAGCTCCCCATCAGGCCCAGCGGTCCAAACAAGAAAGGAGTCACTCATGCTGACATCCCAGTGTCACCAAGCTGAAACTGTGTTGTTCACCTGGCTTCCGAGAGATCAGGAAAGTGAGAGATATGGTTTTGGCAAATTCCAAACAAACCAGTTTTCAAGAGTACAATAACTTTCACTGGAAAATAACTTTGAAGTGAGCAATCTGGTTTTTGCTCTCTATTTCTGTTTTTCTCCACCCTCTGTCTGTAAAACCAAACCCTTCTGCCCAGTTTATTGGAATAGTCACACTATGTCACAGAATGAAGTGCTTTCTGGTTCTAGAATTATAAACTGAAGCCAATTAAAATCTTTAAATTTGTTATAAACTTGTCTTCAGATAGTAGACTGAAAATATTTTCTTTGTAGATACCCAAATCTATATGAGACCTATCTTCATTAAAATGACTTCTTTAGTCACTCTGAAACACTTTTCTTGCTCTTTGAGAACTAAAGCTGGATTCAGACACTCATGCGATGCTGTAACATTGGGATACAACAGAAAGCATCTATTTGGCTTTCAGTCTTGGGTTCCTGACCAGAGCACCTGAAACCCTTGTAATCCCCTAAGTGGTGAGTGGTGAAGTTGAAAGCATTTGTTATCATCCTTAGCAAGCCCCTTTCAGTCAACTCTGAGTTTATGTAGATCAGTTACCCTTTCAAGAGCCCAGAAGGATGAGGAACAGGCCAGGGAACCTTGCTATTAGAGGCCTGGAATTTAGCCTCACCTGCCAGGCTCTGGAGCACAGTGACTTAAATCACCCCTGGCCACCATTTGGTGGATGGGGCCTATTTAATAACACTCCAGAAAAGCCCCAAAGCTTGGGCTTCCCAGCGTGTCTGGGCTGTGGCACACATGGAGGCACGGGGGTGAGGACCCAGCGCCTCCCCAGCCCACCCTCTGTCTTGTGGTCCAGCCAGCTAGCTGTTCCTGGATCGGGTCCTTCATAATAAATCTGCAACGTGTCAGGAAACTTTTCCTGGGTTCCTGAGTTCTCCAGCACTCGACCTACAGCTGGTCATTGGGAAGCACTGGTGACAATGGAGACATCCTTCTGGTTGGTGTCTGAAGGAGGTCATGCTGTGGGACTGAGCCCAGATGGGTTCTCTGGTGCGGTCTCCAGGTAGACAGCTTCAGGCCCGAGTTAAGGATCCCCAGATAGCATTTGGATTGATGCAACAGCCTCCTGCATCGGGTCCTGCTGCTTACTTCCCTTTCAGCTGGGGACATTGGAGTCCTGCAGCACCAGGAGTGAGTCCTCTGCCTCACAGAGGGGAGGGAAGTAAAAGGGAGTGGTGGGGTGCTTTGGTGGGTTCCGCAGGTAGACTACCTGTGTCTTTGACCCCGGTGTCCTAGCAGTCACTACCTGGGCTCAGTTTTAAACAGCTCCCAAGTGGACCTGCAGTCAAAGGGTATCTGTCTGCTGTTGCCCTCCCGAATTCTGGAATAACTGCAGATGCCAAACAGCTGCTCAGGCCTTCCAGGGAGCCAGTTTTGTGAGCTTGATGCTCTCTCAGTAGTCACCAATGACCACCCAGGGGGAACTTCACAGGGAGGCGTTTCTCATGGAAAATGTTGTTGTGCTTTTTAGTGACTATTTTCAGAAATGTGCTGGCATTTTGGAGACAACTGATGTTTGGGAACCCAGAGACCCACCCTGCTACACCCTCTGCTTGCATTTGCATAGACTGCTGAACCTGTTTGTGGATCCCATGAACCTGCTGCTGTGCACACCACCAGTCTGCTGGTCTCCAGACAGGGGCTCTGTGCCCCGGCACCTGGCCAGCTTGCCCTGAAAACCCTGAGATGCTCAAGCCCCCTTCACAACAAAGGGGCCTAAGAGGCAGCAAGACCCTGGTGAGTCTGATCTCTGGGAAGGTGCATGGCCGGGAAAGGGGAGGGCTTGGCCGCATGAACACAGGAATGGGAGCTAGCTCTGGGTAGGCAGATGGGGAGGAGCTCTGCTTGCTTCCCGTGGCTTAAAGCTAGGAGCTGTTGATCGGAGGGGATTCTGTCATAACAAAGTCATTTTACGTGGCACTGCTTATTCTACATAGGATAAAGTTAGCTTTGCTTTCAGTGCACACTGGCAAAGGGGACATTAAATAACTGGCTCTTGAGTTGTTCGACCATGTGTCCCTGTTGCCCAGATTGTTGCGATAAAGGGGAGATGTCAGCACGCACCCCAGTGCAAGAACTGTTGTTTACCAGAAGTCGCAGTGAGAGCTTGTCATGAAATGAGCACAGACTTCACAGACAGCACTTCTCCGGTCCCACCTGACAGTCCTCCAGCGACCCAGAGCAGCTTCCTGGAGTAATTACAGTTTGAGTCCTCCTGCCTGCACTCCTTTTCAGCTGCTCGCTCGCTCTCTCAGAAGTATTCTTCTGAGTATAAATGAGTTTCCAGTGAGTATTGCAGAATAGGCAAGACCACAGGAAATGAGTGCCTGGGAGATCTACAGTTTGAGATGCTGCTCCAAATGTAGCTATTCCCTGAATTATTTGGCTCTCCAAGGCCCTGTCTCACTGTCCCTAAACCTGTGGGCCTACATGGTGAGGATGAAGGAGGAAGTTGAGCCTCATAGAAATGATGTCTGACTCTTGTGAGTTTTAAACCCTGACCTTTATCTCAGTAGCAACAGGATTTAAGGAGAGAATTCAACATTACATTTTACCTTTGAGGTTTTTTTATATGACTACAATGTAATAACTGTTTTTTTTCTAATGAAGCCTTCATGTACCGAAGCCATAAGCCTCTTAAAAACAGGGGCTCCAATTTGTCTTGTTTTGTCCAGAACTCTTCTGGTCTTAATCTGAAAGTCTTATATCCAGTGAGGGAGTTAAGGATGCGCTGTTTCAAAATATGCCAAATTGGTGTATTAGTTATGACAAGCTAAAATCATTTCAGGAACTGTGTTACGGCTCAGATCTAAAATGTCACCCAAAGATGCTTGTGTTCAGAATTGGGGCTTTCAGAAGACACCTGGATCAGGAGGGCTCTAATCCACTGATGAGATCATAGTTTGATGGCATTATTTGGATGAGGGGCACTGGAGTGTTGGGGTCTGGTTACAAGCAGTAGGTCATGGGGCTATGACCCCTGTGACCATATCTGGTTCCTGGCCCCTTCTTCTCTGAGTTGTTCTCTTTTCCTCTGCTTCCTTGGTGCCATGAGGTGAGCAGCCTTCCTCAACCACACCCTTCCACCATGATGTTTCTGCCCCAGCATAAGATGAAAGCAATGGACCCTGACAACCATGAACTAAATCCCCTGAAACCATGAGCCAAAATAAATCTTTCCTTCTCTAAACTGTTTTTCTCAGGCATTTCATCACAGCAACAGAAAGCTGACTAATGTAAACTTTTACTTCAGAAAGGGTCATTTGGCTAGTCTTTCCCTATACACATCCAGCTATAAAGGTTCTCTTGGAAGGGACGCCCTTCACATACCAAAGGCTGGAAAATAGCCTTGATCACCAAAGTTTGGTCACTGGTGCTGCAGCAAACCTGAATAAACAAACTTGGTATAATTATTATCTTCCCCAGACGTCTATGGCTGCCCCTACCCCATATATCTCAGTAACAGCCTAGACCTTACCACTCAGTCCAGAGAAGCATCTGTCCCCTGGCTCCTTCCCCAACATATTGTTTGTGGTCTAAAAAGTTTAAAAGCATCACACCTTGGCTGTGTCTTCAGACTTCAGTCTCTTGTGAAGACCCTATGCACATGTGCAGTTGATAAAACTTTTATGCTTTTCTCCTGACAATCAGTACCCATCTGCACTGGGTCCTTAGATCTAGCCCAAGAGCCTACTAAAGAACAAGGGGGTTGAGGGTAGTGGGGACAGCAAGCTCCTCAATCTAGAACAAACTGGGATTGTTGGCCCTGCTACTTAAAAAGGCTCAATGCAGCTTCCCTAGGATGCAGTACGATGCTGTGTTTGTTGTGTGGTTTGGATTTCTGGTTACAGCAACACCACACAGTCAGTTATCTACATTACCAGACTGGCACCAGGGAACACATTTAACTGACGGGGGTGGGAGTGTGGTCGGAGGATGGGTTGTGGGATAAAAAGCTGGAAGATTAATGTCATATCGGAGTTGGACTGCAGGGCTTCTTTCCTGCTATAAATATTGGATGAAGTGCTGATGTAACCTTTACTGCAGCATGACATGGGATTTGGCTGTTTTTACAGCTCACGATTAAAGTAAGAAACAAGTCTCTGATTAGATTATTCCCCTTCCCTCCAGACTCTGTTATTCCCTTTTGAAAGAGTGCTCTTTTATTTATGCAATCAATCCAGCTCACACTCAAACACCCACATCTGTAGATCACCACCTAGAAAATGGATCATAGAAGCATTCTTTTCATTTGTGACCTCCAATTATTTATAATGTAAGATAATTGCTTCCTGATAAGCACTGCAGAAAAAGGAGAAAGTTGAGTCTGGCAGAGCCTGCATCCTTTAAAAAAGTATATTGTATATATGTAGTGAACCCCACTGAAGTTCTGTTGCAGTTGCATAAGAAAATGGATAGGCTTTTAATGACTTCCCTTTGCTGCAATTGCAGATAGCTAAATACAGTCAACTGAAGAGCAAATTGAGGAGGAGAATTCAATCTATTGGCTTTTCCTGGTTTATCCTATTTGGTAATTTAATTATTTGTGAAACTTTTAGACTCAATTGACTCCCATGGAATTTATCCAAAATAGAGGGGGTTCGGTGTTACACTCATTCTATCTTTTGGTCCTGCTCCAGCAATTAGCAACTTGGCTTTATTCAATCACAGAGAACCAACTATATTTGAAATGCCCATGTTCTCTGCTTAATGTCTTTAAATGATATCCATTTTAAAAATTCAGAACATTAGTCTGCTTATTATGTGGAATTGCAGAACAGCTCTCACACTGAGAGACTATTTTTCTTTTTTCAACTTTATAGAAATTTATTGGATGGAAAATTTTAAATTTAACTGTGATGAGTAAGGTTGAAAACTAATAATGATCCAAAATAAGTGATATCAGAGGGTGAGCCCTCGTGAATCAGCAAGTCTATGTTAAATGTGGGTCCAAAATATTATTCTAGCTATTAGATGCCATCTACTGGCTATGATTACTGTCTGATACAACTGCCTATGGTTTTTGAACAGAGGGAGAATACTCCAAATGCTTGTTGTTAAAATTTGAACAGAGGGGCCAGGGATTTAGCTCAGTGGTATCGCTGCCTGCTGCGCAAGCACAAGGACCCAAGTTCAATCACAGTACCAAAAAAAAAAAATTCGAATAGAGTCTGATATGTGATTCATATGTTGTGGAAACCAACCACTGAATAAAAACAACTGTATTTTAAAATTCAGGCTGCATTTAGGAAAAAACTACTGTGAATCTGAAAGGTTCATTTAGAAGCTTTGTATTTGTGAATTGAGGACACTCAAGGATATCCATGTGGTGGGACCCCTCTGATGGCTGTTGGCTACACCTAAGCTTTCTTGAAGATGAAGTAAGGCATGCAGGCATCTGGATATAGTTCTTTTGTCATTGTACCTGGGTACATTTTGCAAAAAGCAGTCATATTGCAGCTGTTCTCCATGTAGGGTGTGGCAGTATGCCGAACACACAGGCTCCATCTGCATTTCTGTATTTAAGAATGATTAGTACTGGCACCCACCATCAAAACAGTTAACTCCATAAAGCAATCACAGGTACTTCACATCTGTAAATTCTCACACCTGAGCGGGAGACTCTGCACGCTCTGGGGGGAATAATAAAGTCCATTATGTGTGGAGGAGTTCATAATTCCTTGTTCTAAGGGATGAACGTGTCTCCCAAAGAGTGTGTGTTGGAAACTTAATTCCCAATGCAACACTGTTGGGAGGTAGAGCCTCGTGGGAGGGATTTAGTCAATGAGGAAGTAAATGCCAATTATGAAAGGGTCTGATGCTGTGAATTCAATCTCTTCCTCTTGCTGCCCTCTCTTTGCCCTTCTGCCATGTGGCAAGATGACCCTTGATAATTCTGGTCCCTTCTCTTGGACTTACCAGCCTCCTGAACCACGAGCTAATGCATTCCTATTTATTATAAATTACCCTGGAGTATTCTGTTAAAGTAGTGCAAAATGGACTAATGTGCATGGGTATTGTGCAAACAAAAACACATACAGCACAGTTTCTAATGTTCTAAACAGGCACTGGCAAACTGTAGCCTATCCAACTTGCTTCCTGTTTTATGAATAAAGTTCTATTGGAACTCAGCCACGAACATTTGTTTGCATGTAGACTAAGCCGCTTTGTCACTGCAGCTGCATAGCTGAGACATATAGCCCACAAAGCCTAAGATGCTTACTATCTGGTCTTTGACTGAAAGTTTGTTGACTCCTGATCTGGAAGCCATTTCATTAAGGCTAAAATTTAGTTAAAACTCTAAATAGGCATATATCCTTCCAGCAGCATAAACTTTGCAACAACATGGCTTGCCCCAGGAGAAATGATTCTACCCCAAGAACCGGACAGGGACAGCTCCTACTAGGATTTAGTTCATGTATTGGAAAATTAATCCCTAAATTTGTTTTTCAGTAGCTTCTGCAGTAGGACCTTTGGAGGGTAACTAGGATTAGATGGGTCATAAGGGTGAGGTCCCCATGTATTAGTGGCTTTCTAAGGAGAGGAAGACAGGCTAGGTAGCACATTTGTTCTGGGTCTCTATGTGATGCCCTCTGGCATGTTATGATGCAGCACAAGGCCCTCACAAGATGTTAGTGATGTTTTTGTGATGCTTCCCCATTCTGCAGAACCATGAGCCAAATAAACTTCTATTCTGTATAAATGACCTGTCTTCAGGCACTCTGTTATTGCAACAGAACAGTTCTCCTCTTCAACGCTTCCATAGGCAGCTTCCTGGCTTGATTAGCACACTGGGTCCCATTGGTGGGCTCCAGGAAAAGATTTCCGGTATCATCAAGGCTCAGTGCAAAAGGAAGATTGTTTCTGCACAGAGCAGAAAGGCTCTCTCCCCTTTCAGTTTCCAGGCTCAGAGATATATGTGTGCATGTTGGTAAGAAAATTAAGCTTGGTATGTATTGAAATAGAACTACCAGACAAGCCATGGAAACACATGTTTTGTAACAGGTTGGAGACCTGTTGTACATCATGGGAAAACATTCACACAGTCCAAGTGTAGGAGGAGTCAATGTGGAATAACTAAAGCTCAGACACTTACATTTTTAAAAAAATGATAATTTGGGAAGCTCATGTTTTCATATATCATCATATATATAAAAGATGCAGGAAGGCCCTACTACACCTAAGAGTGACTGTTCTCAAATGCCACATTTATTGGTGTACTGGAGATCATTCTTCTTGTTAG